AATCATTGATTGATTTGAGGACCTTTTCATTTTTCGGGGTTTTGGGAAAAATGGGGTTTTTGATGATTTTGATGCATGGTTGATTTCATGTTGAATTTGAGGTTATTTTTGAGTTGTATGGAGTTGTATAATTACATTGAGATGTATGATGAGTAGAAAGTGAAATGAAGAGATGCATGTTGAGTATAGTGTTGTAAACTAAATGAGTAGTTGTGCCAAATAGAAATGTGTTGAATATGTGATATGTTGTTAAAGTTTCTATATGATATGTGTGGACATTTATATGTTGTGGAATATGATGAGATGATATAGTTGAAAGTTGTGAAGTGCATGATGATAATATTGTGGGTTGTGAGAAGCATGATGTGATGTAGATGTGTTGAGATTTATATAGAAGTTATTAGTAGACTGTGTTGTTAAGTTGTTAGAGGAGAGTTGCATGTTGTGCCGTGTGTTGAAAAGATATTATTTATGATAATTGAGTTGTAAATTTAAAGTTGATGATTGAGCTGATGAGATAATAACGATATTGTTAAAGTTGTGAGTTGACTGTGTTGTTCAAGTTGAAAGTTGATTGAGATGAGGAGTTGATAAGTTGTGTGTCATTTAAGTTGTGGAGCTGAACTGTGTTGTGAGTTGTAAGTTGTTTGTACTGTGATGACGAGTTGTTGATCACTAGGACTAGGGGAGATGTTTTCAAAGTTGCTCATCCCATTGTGTGGATTGAGTGTTGTGGTGCTCTAAGAGCCCAATTTGTTGAAAAACCCTCTTTGGGAAGTTGTCCCTTGGAGTGGACGTTGTGTTGTTCTCTTCTAGGACTTAGTTGATCCCATATGTCGGCAAGTTCGAGGCATACGTGTATGAAGCGACTACGGTATAGGAGCCAGGTCGAGCTATACCGATTACAAGCAGCCAATATGAGTAAAGTACGAAGTCGGGAACTTAGTTCCTAACCGAGTATCGGAGGGTTGTAGTATTTGGAGGATAGCTGGTAGGCTAATCCCATAGGTGACTTATTTAAGCTAGCTAATGTCATGGTAGGTCTAAACCCAGCTGTTCTATCCTGATAGAGTACTATACTTCCTTGTTTAAGTGACAAAGTCTGAGAAATCGTTATCGTGTTGTATATTTCTATCCAAATTTGTTGTTTACCTAGCAAGCCCAAAAAGGTTTTGTGTTGTTGGTTCGGTAGGACCTAGCCACTTAGACTACTCACTACGTTGTAGGAGATCTCCGAGTTGAAATGCGTGATGACGCATAAGTTGTTGATGTGTTGATTCTGTGTTGATTTAGTTGCATATCTGTTGTGATGTTGTGAAGCTGTGATTAAGTTGCGTGTTGTTATCTGTTGAGCGTTGAACTTTTGAAAATGTTGTTTCTGTTGTTGAAGTTGTAGGTTGTTTATATCTATATGTTGATTATTTTCACTAGCTTATCCTTGCATATTTCCATGTAGTTTGGACTACAATGATCATACTATGTATGGGAGTAGAGCAGAGATAGGCTGGAGAGTAGCGGTAGTGTCACAGGCGGTGACTGGAGCTGATCTTTTGTGTAGGCTACTTTGGTGTAGCATTTTGTTAGTATTAGATACTTGACTTATTGAACCTTAGGCTGGATATATGTATATATATTCTACTCCTGCATGGTGTTGTTCTGCAGTGTGGCGGCCAGGCGGGTCGTTACACAATTTTTGTATTGAAATATGAAATCAATTTAAATTAATTTAAACTATATTTATAAGTAATTTTTTTTTTCCAAATATATATTATAGGTATATAAAATTGACACATAATAAAAAATGTATTTTATAAAACTATAAGATTCTAAAAGCATGTTTGGAAATCTGTTTTTTTTTT